CAAGTTGCCAGAAGGTTAGTGTGAAAATACATCACAACCTGATTCCATAGCAAAGGACAGTTACTGTTACCAGGATTTATTAAATCTTGTCCTCCTAGCAAACAGTACCTATCAAGCACTTCTATAGGCAGTCCACAGGAAGCAGTTGCAGTCACAGCACCTTTAAAACGTTTTTTATCAAAATGCATTTTTTAGATTGCTTGGGCATGCTTCATTGAAAGTAGTGCAAGAGTGGGATATAGTGCATGAAAGAATTTATTGTGTATACTTGAAGCTAGTAAGGAGAATCTAAATTATTTAAAATGTTTGTCACAAATAAATACATCATTGCCACTGTTCTCTGAAGAAAAGTTTAGTCATTGTAAGCAGTTAGGAGGGAGTATGACTGAGAAATACCTTGATTAAATAATTTTAGGGCATGCTTTGTATATTGAGACTTACATAATGTAAAGAAGCCTACCAGCATAATGCTTGCCTCATCCTGCTTATTTGTTACTTTCATAACTGTTTTGTAAAAGTCCATTTTCTCTTTACAAAGAAGAGAATTTTTCATGGTTTCCTGTGGACTGTTAGCCTCCACATGTTATCCCACAGGTATGTAGTTTACATACATTATGCAGTTGCAATGTGAATTACGTAGTGCTTTCTTTCTGAAATGGTTATGTAAGTGAAAGAAACAAAATAGCCTAATGAAGTACTACTATTCTTCAAATTAAAACTTTAGAACACTTTTAACTGAAATAGATTTCAGATATAGTGAAAACCACATTTTAATTAACAAAATCCAATACTTAATGCAAAATGTTCAAAACCCTTCAGATATTTCAAACTTACATGTTAAATATTTTAACACACTAAGTAGTATTACAACTAATGTTTTGGTGGAGAAGATGCTTTTGTGAACAAAGACATCAGTTCATATCTTACAAGATGCATCAGAGGTATATCTCCATTGAACTAAAAGATAAAAATGCAAATCAGAAAGACTTGACTCTCGATGTAGGTTTCTGTACCTAATGCTATGGTTCTAAGAAATACTACTCCTCTACTACTAGTCAAATAATAAACCATCTCTTTGCTTTCTCTTGTAGCAAAAGGCAATACTCTCTACAGATGTTTTTATGTTAGTTTTTAAAATTGCATAATTCATTTGATGAAAGAGCTTTTCATCATTAAGTATTAAAATTAAATATGAGTTATGCAATTCCTAATGATATAAAAAGTGTTTTATAAAATCTGTTCTTAGGTTCCATGTATGTTAGGTACATCATGTATTTTAGAATGTGCTTAAGAGTGTGTTTAAGTCTAGAATCTTGTTGTATATTCTTTTATATTTTCCTGAATCAGAGTACAAAATAGAAAAAAAACCCAAATTTATTTATTTGTTTTTTTAAACTATAAAATAATAATTCTCTTTTCCACTCACAAATAGCATGTGTTTGAAAAAAATTCTTTTGGCTGTGTATGCCTCTTCCTAGGTGATTTTCTCATATCACAAATATATCTTGCATTTATTACTGCCAATTAGTTTAAGTTGCTAAAGCTTTTCTTCCAATTAATACTGTAAAGGTTTGCCCTTCCTGATAAAATTTTAGTTGAATCACTTACCTTCAAGCTATATATATATGAGGCAGGATAAAAAATAACTAGTAGTGGTATCATTGATGATGTTAATAGTAAGAATTTAACAGTAAGAATTGTGAAGGAGTTTCATTGTCTTAAGTATTCTGATTGTCATACTGGTCTTTGATTAATTAATTCTGTTTGATTTAGAAAATAATTGTTTCCAGTACAAAGGTTGTGACATTTATCTATGGCATCATAGCTGCCTTTTACATGGTAGTCCAATTACTTTGATTTTGCATTTACTTTAAGAAATATTGCAAGGTTTTTTTAAAAAAATCACTAAATACTGTAATAGACAGGGAAATGTCTATTTTGTGTTTTACCTGTGAGCCTTCTTCAACATAATCACATTTAGTTTTGTTTTAGAGAGAGTCTTTCAGTCACATTTTTAAGTTAGGTGACATAACTGTCAGCTACAAGCCAGTGAAATGAGAAATGAATTAAAAATAGTAAAAACCATCACCACCACCAGCACCAAGAAGAATGAAAGATTCTCCTGATTATTTATCAGAGCAACCGTTTTTGTGTTTATGGTGTGTTTTTGTGTTTATGGTGTTGTTTTTTTTCTAGAATCATTCAAGGAAATATGAGTAGAAATTATTTTCAGAACAGATCTGCTCATGTTGTCTGATAGGATAATTCCAAGTATTTTCACCCTTCAGTGCCTAGAAGACTGTTTTCTGTTTTTTTGGCAGTGATACTTTTGAGCATGATGTTATTCTGTTACTTTTTACTCAAAAGTATACTTTTTTAAAAGTTTTTTTTTAATTTTGTTTTTAAGTTTGAAAATTTAAAAAAAAAAAACTGATAATTTTTTTATTTTAAAATTCTAATACCTGCCTACCTGTCTGGGTTTGTTAATTCTTTTGCAGTAATTCTATTAAAATGAAATGGAAACTGATCAAAGATTACTGTAAAATGGAAATTGTGTCCCATTTAGAAGTGATCTATTTTGAGTCTTTTCATACCATATTATCATTACAGCATATATTTTCTTTTTTGATGTATTTTCTTCTTTAATGTCTCAAGGTTTACATAAGTAATTATTTGCTATTAAAGCAGTGGAAGTCTTGGTGTTTAGCAGCAAAATTTTGGCTTTAACCATCATTTCTTCGTCTGTCACAATAGGGCTTAAATGTGAAAAGATTTTGTGAATTAAAGGGAGAGAAAATCCACTGTTGCTTGCCTTTATTTTACAAATTTCAATTTTAAAAGTTAAAAATATTACTGTGGATTTCTATGCACTTTTTCCAATATACAGAAGTGTCTTCATTGCTCTTTTTACTGGTCATTGTGTCCAATCAAGGACTCTCTGAATGGAACATACTATTTAAAATATGTTTGAGTTTTTTGCAGAGTGTGTGTATAAGTGTGTATATGCATGCTGTTTGAAAAGGGAACATTCAGTGGTATTTTGGATAAAAACTATAATTAGAAGCAGCTGCATAGAATTATGATTTCTGCCTTGATTTTTTTTCCCTTCTTTCCATTTCATCCTCCATTAGATGGCAGTGTTGTGAATATGCAGCACATCAGTGTTGACATATTGAAAGGAGTGCAAGCATTTTTAATACATCTCAGATGCTTTTTCATTATATATCTGATGAATTTCAGGAGGAAGAAGGGTGAACTAGAAATGATAGATGGAAATAGTAGATATTGAAATTTGCATTCAGTGTGCAGAAACCTAGCTAGTAGGAAAGTTGCATTCAGTCCTTTGTGTGTTTCAGCTTGTTTTAAAAAAAATGTAATAAAACTAGTTGTAGTAAACCATAAAGCCAGGCCATGCATTTACCACATTTTTCTATACATCTCTTCTTATGTAAAAGAAAATACTGTCTCAGTTTTGTGCTTTAACAGAGTTATTTATGTATAGCAAAGTTCTTTCAAAGTTTTTAATGTTAGACTATGTTTTAGCCAATCAATTTGCTTTCAGTTAAAAAAAAATAAATAAATATTTGCTTAGGTTTTTGTGGCAAGGTTTTAGTAGAGTTGCTTTAGCAGTGGCTAATGCCAGAAGAGATCAGGAGCACTCCACACACTAGACAGAACCAAATCCAACTGACTCCAGAATGAACCTGCTGCTGCCCAAAGCTGAGCTTGTCACCGACTCTGGTGGCATTTATGTGATAACAAATTTAGAAAGAATAAAAATCACTCTACAGCAGCTGTGAGAGAAAGGAGTGAGGAAAATGTGAAAGAAACATCTCTGAAAACACCAGTGAGAAATGAAATAAAGCCTGAAAAATCTGTGTGAGGCGAGCTGGTTTTAGTTTTGTTCTCATTTCCCATTGTCATAATCTCTTATTAATTGTCATTAAATTAATATAATTTCCTCAAGAGAAGTTGAAGGTGGTAGTTGGTCAGTGATCTGCCAGTTCTTATCTAGATCTGTGACATTTTCCATCTTATTTTTTCCCTCTGTCCTGCTAAGGAGGGAAAATGGAGAGCAGCTTGATGGACAATCAGCCAGGATTAACCCACTGTAGTAGTTTATGTGCTGTAGACATATTGATTAGTTAATGCAGTTGCCTAGTGTCACTTTTTGAGTATTGGGTGCAATGACTTTAGTTTGAAAATTAACTCAGCATCTACAGTGTTTGAAGTGGAGACTCCTTTGCATTTTCATGACCGTTAAGATTTTATCCAAATAGGACTAAAATAATTCTATTCGGATACATAAGAAAAACAATGCAAAATTCTTTGAGGGGACTAAAGTCAGAGATTAGATTAAAGTTAATGAGGAAAGTATATGAGATTTTAGGGTCTACACTATACGGTGGATTGAATTACATGGTTATAGCACAGCCTTCCAGACCTCAGACATAATACTCCTCTCTCTTGCTTCCTTTTTACTCTTTGTAGAAAAAAAATGGGCAGAGCTGTGACTTGATGTGGTACTAGTATGCATTTATGCTTTGAAGAGTTAACTGCTGGGACTGTAAATACTTGTAAAGACCTTTGGGTCAACAGGATACTACATAAGTTATTTTTTAAAGTAAAATTCTCATGTCACTCAAGATTATGTGCAGACTCTGAATTCAAGGTGGCAAGGTTTGCTTAAAATTATCAAAACCAGCTAATAGTGCAGAAAGAATGCTATAGTTTCCTTTTTTTTTGTTTTTAACCAGGAGTTAAAGAAACAATGGAGTGTCTTTAAGTACTTTTGGGAATCCTAGTGTGACACATTTGTTCAGATAGTGTTTTCTCTTGAATAATCCTTTCCTCTTGAAAATTGAGGAAGAATGAAAAGGGAAAATACTGATTAAAGTAGAATAGTTTTTTAGATGTGGGATTTTTGTTCTGTGCTTTTCAAACTGCAAATGGACATATTCCAGTATTTGTCACTTAAAAATTCCTCTCTTGTCTTGCAGTGCACTTGTAGGAGAGACATGGTGTCAATATCCATGGATGTCTTTGTGAGGAAGTTTCAACCAGACAGATACCAGCTGTGGAAACAGGGCAAGGATTTATATACCATTGATCACACAAAACCAACTCCTGAATCAACACCTGAAGTAAAGATCTGGCTACAAAGAAGAAGGAAAGTACAGAACTTTCCGAAGAGGTATTTTTGTTTCTTTATCATTGTTTTCGTTTTAGAAGACAGGTGTCTGCTAGGGAGGGCAGGAGCCTCCCTTGGAATGAAAGAATGTAGACCCCCTCCCTCTGAATTATTATAATTCTGAAATCAAGGGGCTCTCAGGCAGAGATCTGGGGATAGGAATAACAGTTCTTTACTGGTATAACCAGGCAAACAAACAACAATAACTACAGCTTTAGCAAGAAAACAGAACCAGGCACCCCGTGACAGTTTTCTCGGCTGAGGCGGGCAGTCCCGGTGCTCCTGCAGGGCTCTGAGGAACACTCAGCTGGAACAGCAGGGATGAGCTGAGATCCTGGGCCGGTGGCTGAGGTGTATCAGCAGCTCCGAGGCGGTGGCTGGCACAGGCAGGGGGTGAGAGGCCACCAACAAAGAGGGGAGAAGAAGCAGCAGCTCCGTCTGGGTGATGGCGAAATCCCCTTCTCTCCACTGCAACAGCTCCGTGCCCCAAGTGTCTTTCTCCGAAGCTGAAGAAAAGCCCACCAAACTGTCCCCACCCTCCTTTTTCCTGCCCCCGTCTCCCCCTGGGCCCGGCCACTCTTGGTCTTGTCTTGACAGTTTAGGTTGTCCCCGCAACTAATGAGTAAAAATTCCACGGGCAAGCCAGAACTAAAAAAAAAGGACACCTAACCCCTACCAACCATCTATTTAATTGTCTTTAATATGATGCACGACGGAAGTGTCCTTTCTGTTTCGTTTTGCGCCTTCCTCTGATGTTGTCTTAGTTTTGGCCACACCAGATTTTATTTTCTTATAGTAGCAGTGAGGGGGTGGGGCTTAGAGCTGTGTGGTTGTGCCTACATTTTTCTCTACCACACACATCACTGCTGGGGGATAGAAGTAAGGGGTTCTCACTTCTGAGAAGGAAGGGAGTGTGGTGTGCGCCCAGGGTCTGGGGGTCCTTTTGTTTCGGAAAGCCTCATGGCTCTGGGTTCAATGAGCATTTTGTGTGTAGTCACCTGCTTATATAAAATGCAGTTATTTGTATTGTTGCTGTTACTGCTAATTTTCTTATCTCACTGCTGTTTCCAGTAAATGGTTATCTCATCCCATGATCTCTGTCTTCTCTCACTCTTTCTCTCTTTCTCTCTTTCTCACTGGACAGGCTGGAGGGAGGGGAATGGCTGCATGGATTTTAAAATGACATGTGACATAGTTTCAGCTGGGCTTAAACTATGTCACATGATTTCTTCTAATTCTAATTTCCTTTAGACAAAAATTATTTTTCTATATTCTGTATTAAGATGAACCTGGGGACAAGCCAGTCTTTTTTCAGAGTGACTGTGAAAATTTAACTTACAAGTTTTGTGTGTACCTAAAAAAGTTAGTGATTATCTATGCATCAAAATGCATTCAAGTGTTGCACTGATAAATCTCTCTTTAGTAGGGGTTATTCCAGTAAAATTTTCAAGGTGTGGATGTTGCCATTGTTTCTAGAGATGAGTGCAACCAAAAATAAAGGGAGAAGATTCCTAAGAGCTAAAAAGGAAGCTAAACAGGAAAAAATTTATCATAAAGCTGTGATAGCATCCCACCCGTTGTTTCAAGTTTCTAGTAATAATCTTAGCCGTCACTGCTATTTAACTTAAAGGAGGTACCACTGCCTATTTGTCACACTCTCGCAGTGCAGCTGCCAAACCTTTTGTAGTCTTTGTCTACTACAGGTCAGTGGCAGATCATAATTAAGGGCTAGATCTCAGTTGGTGGTGGAAACACCACTAAGAAATTTAGGAGAATAAAGTTTAGCAATTTGTCACTGAAGCTTTGACCTATTAAAGCAGTTTTATATCTATTTTATTGAGATGCATTATGGTTTCTGTTCGCATTGCAGAAACATTTTTTGTACAATTGTGTTTTCCTGTCTTACTTAACAGGATCTTTATGGATTTTCTTCATTATCTAACAAAGATCTACTTAATTTTTAGCCAAAGCTGGGCAGTTTTATTGGTATCTTGTTATTTTAGTGCAGTTTTTTGAATTGGAGATAATACTATTTTTTTTTAAGATATTTTTTCTTCTTCAAATAATTTTACAGTGTAGTGGCTTTTTAAACTTGGTCTTAAACCAAACTTCCTCATTTTCTTTGTAAGCTAATGTATTTCTGAGAAGAAGATGGGAAAGTCAACCTGTAAATAAAGGGCCAACTGGCACTGTAGTGGATAGAACATGATTACTGAAAATATAATACCAACTTTGTTCTGGCTAAGGGGAATTTGTGAGGTAGAATCACTTCTTGGAGACAACCAGTGAAGCAGCTGAGCAGACAGTTTGTTAGTACATGTATAATGCTAACCTGGACTTGCAGAGAGAGTAATTCTGTCGTTTAACTAGTTGAATGCCATTTTTCCCTGGAGCAGGTTTCCCTGCATCTGTTGTATAGTGTAAATGCAAATTCCCACTTAGGCCAGCAGTGATTCATTTGGTAGTACCCTTACGGGTAGCTGGTTCTGAGTAAAAACAAGTAATAATAATAATTGTGTTGAAAGTTTTATCGCAGGAACACATGGGCTGATTTATGCACCTTGCTAAGCTAATAAACACAATTCCAGTGCTGTTTAAATCTTGAGTTGGCTTTTGTTCAGGCATGGTAACAGTGTGCATTGCAGAGGAGGGTAAAATGTTTATTCAGCTTTGTTTCTAGTGTAATGTGTCGGTTGAAATTATCATTTTGATTATGGGAATAATCGAGTTCCTGCAAAAGTGAAAATAAAAATACCATCTATGGAAATCTTCATGAATATAGTGACAGGGAAAGCTTATCTCTGACATTTATGGCTGAAATCCATTGCTGCTATATAACATCTAATGACTGCATGTACATAGTAATAATACTTTCTATTATTTACAATGTGAGCTGATGGTTGTCTCATACTTCAGCAATTTTTCTGGAAATAACTTACAAAGAATGTAAGTTATTCTACGTATTTGTAGACACAATAAAATGTAAGGGATAGCAAAAATGTTTTTCTGGAGATGTGTAAAGTCTAAGATTCAAGACCTTTGTAAAATTCACTTAAAACTTAATAAAATTCACTTGTGATAGTAGTGCTTTTATCTCTGCTGTGTTACGAGCTTTAAAACCTGCTGTATGATGACATTAAATATTCCTCTTGTATTAGGAATGATGAATTCTTAATATTGATTATGAATTATGACCCTTTATTTTATGATTATGAACCTATTTCTAATGGGTTTGCCATTTCTCCTGCCTTAAGCTTTTCTTTATACTTCTGAGGGTGCAAAACCTTGTGCTCAATCTTTAATTTCAACTTTATTTTTTTTAACACAGAATAATTATATATATTGCTTTATACTGTAGCCTTTCAAAATATTTGGTGATCATAATGTTTACCTTTTTCAGATGCCTGTTAGTTATGTTAAAAGTTAGATCACAGATCAGCTTTTACAAGGATATTTGGACTAGTATTTTATTAGCACTAGGGTTTGTAGATATCACCTGATTTTACTGCTACTGAGAGAGTTTTGTCATTACTCTTGTATGGGTAGTTCTTTTTCAGGTTCAAAAGAATGATTTATTAAAAAGCTAGTTTGTGTGCTAGTTAAGTAATAGTGACTTAAAGACTGTCTTACTTTTAGAGTTTAACAACTTTTCCATGGAATGGTGATAAAAGATTAGAAGGTTAAATCCAATCAATTGTTAATCTATCACTTAATAAATTGTACCACTATCTCAACACAAAAAGATGAAAAATTGTCAGTTTTTTACTACTTTAAGCAGGTGAAAGGGACATATATTGGTAGATGTTTTATCTTATCCAAGACAGACTTTCTACTCTGACAGCAATATCTCCTATAACAGCTTCCAGCACACCAGATCTCGATCTAAAAAGCTTAAAACTCCAGAGGACAAGAGAGTATCTGCTATGGTAGCTGATGCAGAAATCATAACGACTGAAGCAGCTATTGATGGCTTCAAGGTCAGTGAAGAACCAGAAAAAAAAGTGAGAGTGGTAAACACAGGAGTGCCTTCTGGGGAAGAGGAAAACAGTACTAGAATACATCTGGATCAGCATTTGTTGGATCATGTCAAGGTTGCAGGTGAGATAAGCACTGATTATGTTTCACATGTAAGTTGTAGGCTGTTTATACTCTAATGCCACAAATCAGTGGATGTTAAACTAAAGTAATACCCTAGAGTAGCATACTAAAATACTTAGACAGAAAGTTATTTATGCAAAGAAGATTGATACTTGGTAAGGAAGAGAAAATACCAAAGTTAGTGTTCTGAACTGAGAGTGATACCACCTGGAATCTTTTAATTAAGTGTTTTTTAAAGGACCAAAAATAGTGAGGTTTTGTAAATAGTGTTTCTTCAGTGTACTCACAAGTGTTACAACAAAATGTTTTTGATATGGATATGATACAGAAAAGTCTTAACGCTATTCGAACAGGTCAGAACATATATGCTTGTGAGTGTGCTACATGTATTTGCATAATGAACCTGCAAATTAGAAGTATTCTGTATCTGTGCACAAAAATGCTGTATTTTGAACCTTCAGGTTTCTTTTAATTTCCTCTGGAGCTGTCTAACAGCTGTAAAGGTCTTGTCAAGACAAAGATTTTTTTTCCCTCCACAACCATTTTTATTCTAATATACTTGGTCTATTCTAGACTTACTTTATTCTGTTCATTGTAGTTCTGATGTAGTTCCTCATTCCTGTTCATAAGGCGAGCTGCAGTTTTAACTTCAAGTTTAGAAGTGGTTGTATTTTGTTTTATATTGCTACTGAAAATTTATTTTCAAACTGCGTATAGACAGTATTTTAATTATTGTGAATGGTTATGTTCGTGCATATTTGGAGGTGATAATCACCATGATTGATTTACATAAAGATACCAAGGTATTGCAATATGGTGGTGCCATCAATGGAAGTTCAGAAAGTCCTCTACACAAATTGTCTGGTGCTCTATCAAACCATTTCCAGGTCTGTTCTAATAATTTATTTTTTTAAAATTACTTTACATCTTCACATAACTTTTAATAGAGGTATGTGATGTTCATGAACACTGAGAAAATACTATTTAATTAGCACCCATTCTGAGGCAAGGCAAGGAAAAGCAGAGAGGAGTGGAGAGCTGCCCTCTCTCCTTTGTCTTCTTAAAGGGTAGTGCCTGGACCTTTGTAGGAAAATGGACATTTTTAGATACGATAGAAGCTCCAGTACTCATGTTGAAGAAGGTAGTTTGCATTGTCTCTGGCTAATATGGCCATTATTCTCAGTTGAAGCAGTAGTGTTTGTGCCCACAGATTACATTTTACTACTGTCTTTGTGTTACTAAGTTGTATATTCATTTGTGTTGAAAAGGAAATTTTTCAGAAAAAACAAGTTCAAATTGCCTCAATTTGTAAAGAAAGATGAGTGAGGGACTTAACAGAAGCTATTTTCTTTAATATCATGGATGTGCTGCTGAATTAGAATTCACTTCAGTGTATGCCAGAGTTCTTTAGGAATATGTTTTTGAGTGAACTCTCTAGCCCATTGTTCTGTCTGTCCAATGCAAGCATCAGCAGAGGAAGAATTTTTGTAAAGTAAAATCCACACAATTTCACTCTTCAGTATCACTAGAATATACAATTATGCTAATTTTCTGAAAATAAAATTATGCTAATTGCTTTTCATTTTTAGACTGATGCTGTTGTTTGAAAAATATTCTTCGTATCTGTTTGAAATATGTCTTTGTAATTATAAACCATTAATCTTTGGTTATTTTCATTTTTAAATAGGCATAATAGGTATAAAAGGCAGGGTATAAGGTTCAATATACCAGCCTTTTATATTTTTTTTTTCATTGACTTAAAGTGCATATAGGCAATATGAATAAAGACTGAGGAAGCTACATGAATATTGATTATTTTGAATTAATTGAAGACCTGCTATAATTCAACTGCAAAGTACCGCCTAAATGATCAAAACTGTATTTCATACTCTAAACTCTAAACCATTTACATTTAATTTATTCTTTGATAAAACCTATGCTCCCTATTTGTGTATGCCCTCCCACCAAATGGTTTTCTGTATGATTTCTAAATAAGGAACCATGCTTTGAATTTGAATAATTTAGATTGCTATGAAATTCAGTATGGTAAAGTGGGATTTATTAACAAATCATATTCTTGATTTATAGGAAGCATCCCTTCAGACTCAATTTTGAGCCCTGTTCCTGTACTAGAGAAAACAAAAATGGAAGATGAGGACAGGATAGATTCCAGTCATTCTTCTTTTACACTTGAAGATTCTGTGGCCAGCAAGCCTGCTTCTGATAGCAGTAGAAAAGAAGAAAGTTTGAAATCTCAGAATGAATATGTTTCATCCATACCATACCATAAAGCAGAGGGACAAACTTCTGAAGCAGAAAATCCAGCTAGAGAGGGAAGTGTCTCGACAGAGGATGGTATCAGCAACCTAGAAAGTTCTGGAAGTAGTTTGGAACATGGAAAAGTGCCCATTGTAAAAAAGGATGAAGAAGACAGCATGGAAATATCTTGTGTATGTGAAGCAAATTGCATCATAATTGTAATATATTCTTGATTTAATGAAATATGAATGAGCATTTTTCTAATGAGACCTGATATCCATATTAAAGCATTTAAGATTATGCATGATTTTAATCAGATGATAATTGGAATGTGTTTTGAAGAATTCAGGCAAGAGTGGCAATTCTGATCCAAAAGCAGACTGTTCTTGGAGTTTGCTTATTGACATATTTTTCCCTGTTATTTTAGATATCTCATAATTTGACTTTATATTTGTGAATCTAAAGTGTCAGCAACTATTCTCAAAGCTATTCCCATATTCACTGCCTGCCAATATGAACCGGGCTATGAGCTTCACCTACTTACTGTTCTTGGATTCTGGAAATGAACTAAAATATGTAAAGGAAACATTTGAATGAAAAAATTCCACTATTAAAAGGAATATATTTTTAATTTTTAAATAATAGATTTTAATATTATTTTCTCTTTGGGCTACCTACAAACATATGGCCTTTTTTTAAACTCATGCTATTCTGCTATGTTGCATAGTCAGTTTTGACCCACCTACAAGTGTATGGTGGTTGTCAGTAGCTTTCTGAGTATTGAGCTGAATCTCAAATTGGCAGAGAGAATGCAGGAGATCCACTGCCAAACTGCGAGACTTCTTTGAGAATATATTTTAGAAGCCAAACTAAAAAATTGTGCTGACCCTTCCACATATGTGAGCTGTGCTCTAGCGATTTTTTTCAATGTTGTAAGTTTTAATAATCTTGGCTTCAGCCTTTCCACTGTAATAAGGAGCAGTACAAACAGCTCACTGTTTTATTAACATGTATTAGAGATTGTATCTCTCTCTTCTTATGCCTTTCAGCCACATTATATTTATAAGGTTTCAGATTTTCTGTAGTATTATTGCATTTATTTCTCTTTTAAGTGAACAAGTGTACTGTACAAATGCAATTTAAAAAGCTTGACAGTTCCCTTTCTACTTAATCGCTAACTGTTTTAGACCATAAACCTGTCCTGTGCTTTGACCATATCTTCTACCCTCTGCTTATCACGATAAATATAATGTTGTTTTATAATTTACTGCAAGGGCCATGTGTGTAATGTGCTAGGTTGGATTCAGGTTCTTGAGGCATCAAATGCTGTGGTCCATAAGGATTGTGTGAAACTTCATCCTTCCCACACCTCTGCCAATGTCCCTGGGTCCTGAACCTCCAGACACCATCAGTAGCTCATTTTCTTTGGGATTCCCCCAGAGGCACTTCAAGACTTTGAAGTCTTGGCCTTAGTTCTTGAAGCTTGAATAACTTTAAACTGAATGTACACAGGGGTGTTTGAAGAAGGAAAGAATATCTTCATATACTAAATCGACATGTTAATCATATATCAGGACTCTTGATTTCTTATCTCAACTCCAGATTTTTTTATTTTTTTCATTCTTGAGGAATTTTGGAATCTTTCACAAATGAAGTCAGTGGGTTTCTCCTTCATTTTTCTGGTCAGTTACTGGCTCTGTTATACTACAGGTATACAGAATTATTTGCAGAAAATTATCAGGATGCTGATCTTCCTCTCAACATGAGCAAAACATCACATGAGCAAAGCAGGATTTATGCTCTATAAGTTGGGAAGGGCTGCAGTAAATTATACCTGAAATGATTTGTGTATGACAGGTACTGCACTTTTAAAATTAATTACAGTACATATTCTTAATTAGAGGCAAATATTGTATTGGTAAACTAAAGGTCTTTCAAGTATACTGTGGTAGTATATGTAGACTTGATATTTGTGCTTGTTTGCAGAAGAATGCTTATGTTTTTAGTAATTAATTATGCAGAATTACATACTAAATCAGTTGTGTTTTTTCCTTCCAGTCAGAGGAAGTTGAAAGAAAGAAGATATCTAAGAGCTGGCGTCATCCACTACATAAACCCCCAGCTAGATCACCAATGACTTTGGTTAAACAGCAAGTAACTAGTGATGAAGGTGAGTGGACTATTTAATACATTTTTCTGATGATAATTTTATGGTTTTATGAAACCATCTATATAGGCATTTAGAGAGTCACTGCTTCATGCAGACAGGCTAAAAAATCTAAGAAATGTACCCAACATAGGGGTTTCCTTCTTTGAAGTAATATAGAAAGTAAATCTGCTTTACCCAGCAATCATGTATAGAGCCATCCAAAGTTGTTGAATAAAGCTACTTTATTCTATCAAATGTGACTTGCAAAGATTATGGAAATGCACATCCGAAGTATAGATCAAAATGGAAGCAAACACATTCCTTTTTCATATCACTGTACCATTTTAGTTCTGTAAAACATAAAATTTTGAGGTGCTGTTTTCCAGAATCTCCTTAGCTAGCAGAACTGGAGTTCTCACTCTCCCTTAGGTAGTTTGATAAGCTGGAGCTGATGCCATGTCTGTGACTATGAGTCTGATTCCAGCATTACTGCATACTTCAGTGTTTACCTGCAATTTTTACCTGATTTTTTTTCCCCCTCTCAATTACATTTCAATAACAGTAGTTGTTTCTTACAGCTGCAGATAAATTTTCTTGACTTGAGAGACAGCATGCCTCTTAATTGATTCTTCTTCTTGTAACTAAGCAATATTATACTTTCAGTTGGTGAGTTAGGCATTGTTGAGCTGACTGCTTTAAGTTCAATTGATCTCTCATCAATACATCTCCCTCCTTGTTTCAACCCTGAATTAATTGATTTGTGTCTTCAGTCTCACTAGTTTTGGAAAGCTATACTCTCTCTTTCAGTTTTTATCTAAGCTGCAGCTTTGCCAGGCATGATACTTCAATTAGCTGTTAAGCATCTTCCTGAAAATTAGAGACAGCTTAGACCCATGATCAGTATCATATATGAGCATGTTTGAATACCTTGAGGGCTAGACAGAGCATATTTCAGAAAATGTTATGGTAATTTACAGGATGATGTTAATACTAAGTTTCATCTAGTAAAGTAATTAAAGATTTAATATGCGGTAGGTTGCAGTGAAAGTGGTCTTTGTAAAATTAGATTATATTCCTTTTGCCTGCTGATGCTTTTTCAGTGTTATGGTTGAAACATATTTAAGCACGGATTGTGTATGATATAATCTGTCTAGTTGATGATATGATGACAGTTTTGAGTCAAGGATTTTTCTAATGCCAAGACATTTTCCATCTCATCCAGTAGTTTGCCAACTTCCCAGTGTATTAATTTTATGTGAAAGTAGCAACATCCTGACAAGAAATCGTATACCTTAAAGTCTTTCCTCTTTGCATGATGATAGTTCCTCTGATAGATAAGGATGTATTTTTTTAGGAAAGTATGAGCTGTCTTAGAATCAAGAGCCATTAAGTACACATCTGCTTACTGATCGAAGGAAGTAATTAAAAGTTTTATTGGACATGGCAGTTACTGGTATTTCCTAGCTGGAACTGGAATTATTACTGTTTTCATGCATCTGTCTCTCATTGTAATCTAATTTATCAGATGACTTTTGTAAGAGCACCAAAAGAGAAACAGTAGCATTTGGGTGAGTAGAATGTTTAAATCCAAGACAAAGATTGAAAAACTGATGAAGGAGACTGGCAAACTGTAACCTCATTAAGTTGCCTGACACATGATGGCATGTGGGTTAGAGATGTGTGGCTAGATGATTTTCTGATATTTTTCAAGATTGTTTATGTCAGATACGAGAGAAGTAATTGGTATCAATGTACTAATGACTATATTTGTCTTTATGGGGGTGCTTCATCCATATTCTGGAGTTAGCTGAAATGTAATTCAACATTCCTACTTACTCGGTTCTTGTTCTCTGTGACTTTGGGCAAAAATTATACTGGTTGAGACTATGATAGTATAATCTCTTCGTACAGTAATTTCTGATTGTTTTACAAGGGGGATTTATGTATTGTAAATTAGTTTATATTTTAATTTTTCTGGGTCCAGTAAAATAATTACTACAAACAAAACCAGGAAGATGATATAGGCTAGGGCTTTTGTGAAAAGTGAAGTAATTGAGGCTTTATATTTCATCTGCAACTTGTATAACTTTCCACAAGTTGAATAGTCCATAGCCATTTCTAATACCGATAATATATATTCAAATTAATTTAGTTGAAGTTTTTCAGGTACTAGGGTTCTATTAAGAAGTTTCTGTGAATAGAGGTGATCAGAGCATGTTAATAACAAGTAGGTAGCATCCTTTGACACTGTCAGCTGTTTCAGAATTGTAATTTTGCAAATAGAATAGAATAGAATACTAGCGTATTGAACAAGATGCTTAAATCTTAGCAGAGGCTTTCTGAATTCACTTTTAATACAGAGTTCTTTGGCAGAAATTAATTTTTTTTCACAGGATCACTTGGACATTTGAGTTTTGTGTTTTATTTTTATCACCGTATGTTCTTATATATGTGTGCCTTTCTTTTTGAAAAATAATTAATTCTTTATTGCCATTGGTGATTTTTTTTTTCACTCTCCCTGAAGCTTTTCCCTATGTATGACTGACTTACTGTGGAATTAATGCCTAAAAGACTGAGCACTGAGAAATACTAAGGACTGGGGAATGAATCCTAGAAATTGTAGCCCAAGCTGCCAGTTCAAGAGAGTAAGTGCAGCAATGTGGGCTGTATGTCACACTCAATATACTAACAGTTTTTTTGTAATGAACCTTGGTCTTATACTCAGTGCAGTATATTAACTTGTGGTAATAATATTCTGTTGTATTTAATACAATTGTATTTCTGCTCACTTAAGCAATAAAAAAGCAAATTCAGCAGAAGGAGCAAGCATACTAACTTTGAATGCACATTGATTGGTCCCAGAGATTTCTTTCCCACGCTATTTGGTCATGCAACATTAGAAACTGTTTTTAGATTCAAGTTGACTTAAATTTCCCATTGCTCTAAATGATGTAATTATAATGTATAGACTGAATTCAGTATGGGGCTCTTTGTATATGTTTTTTAGCATTTTAAGTATGATGCAGAATTTCAAAGTCGTTTTGCTCTCATTAGTTGGATAAGGATAAGGAAACAGAAAGAGAGAACTTTTCTGAATGGGAACTGGCTTCTGCTGTGAGATAGTACAAAACCTTGGTTTTTACATTAACTATTGGCACCCTATGAGATGTGCTTGATTTGATATTAGAAATCAAGCCCTTTAAGGCTTGTTCAGTAACACCATAAATAGGCTAAGCCTGCTTAAATAGGGGGAAAATTGCACTTGTAGATGCAGTTGCTATTCTTCTGTTTCAGACCTCAAAACAGGAGATTTTGCTTGAAGTTTCTTGCTTACTTGAGAAAGAAATGTTTTTTTCTTGGTGTTGCTTAGGTACATAAGAATTTGCTAACCAATTGATAGAGGCATATTTATATTATTAGCACTGTACACATTAGTATTACAATTTCCAGTATTGCTTTCCCTCCCATAATGTTTTGTTGAATGAAGTTTTACTTCTTCAAAAGGCTTTGCTTTTGTGTATGGGTTAATCAAGATCATAATTTATGTATGTTTTTTTTATATCATCATCATTTAGCACTAAAGAGTCCAGAACTATTTACCACTTCAACAGTATAGAAAAATATGTTTTCTCTACTTTTCTTTGGTACCTACATTACTTCTGTTTTGTTTGAGCTCAGTTTTCAAGGTATAATTGACATAATTAAGTTCTGACACAAAGTGTGTGAGTGGGTTCTGAAGAGCCCAAGAAACCTTTTGTAAAAATATTGTATGATCTTTAGTAGGTATTTAGGAAAGTGATTTCTTAAAAGGTCAAATAAAAGTTTTTTCCTGAATTTCCAGTCCTCTTTTTCAACCTTGTGGGCCAGCAGCTAATCTATAGAAATGGCAAGAACTGACAGCTTTGATTATTACCACTGCCAGCTCTTGTCCCTTTACGTATTTCATGAGTAGCAGTTGTCTGCCTTTTAGCGGACACCTATAGGATCTAAGATTAGCCAATATTTTGATCAAGAATAGAATACAAACCAGTTCTTCTAACATTTATCCTCATTTGCTGGACAGTGGCGTATGTTGTGATCATTGAAAAATCACTGTTCCCTAGATGAACCTTGCAGCTCTAATTGTGCTGGTTTCTTAGCTTTAGAATATGGTATTTTGCCTCATAAAGGACTGAATAGAATTGCAGTCTTGTATAGAAAGGCATGTATAATTTCTCATTATCAGGTGTGCCAAAATGAAAATGGATTTTCTGCTGCATTAGTGAAGCCTCTCAGTTGCTTTCTCAAGGGTAGCAATGGAGCTGGTAGGCAAACTGGATGTGACGTTTACCAAGGAGACAGACACCCCTTCTGTAGGGTGACCTTCTGAAGCTGAGCTTCTGTTTCTGTAGTTATAGTCCAAAGAGAAATACAAAAAACATATGACTTGCATTTACAAAGGATTAATTATTGATGTAATTAATTGGTATTGCCTAATAAATTATTCTGGTAATAACTTACCCACAGATTTATCATCACCTTTGTTAAAATCTGAAGCTGCATTGCAAACCATTAGTATTGAAAGTGACTTAATTTTAATATCAGAGAGGTTTTGCTGACTGTTTTTTCTTAGCTGAGAAGTGTATGTAATATGTATCTTTTAATGTACAAAATAATTACATTTTTGACTCTTGAAGGAGTTTAAATGCAGTTGCTTCCTAGTGTATGAAGTGTCTATGGGATATTTGTTTCAGTGATCTGCAGGAACTGTAGCTTGAAGATACAAATTTATAATTCTGATTTGGGCATTGATTTATCATGAATTTGGATCTGAGATTGAGTCTGTTTTGCATCTTCTATACTTAGATACTTATGAAGAGGTCTTGGGTTGGTGAAGAGCTTCCAGACGATCTTAACGCATTCAAATAACCTTGTTCCTCGAATTTCATTTGTGTTTTGCCAAGGGGAACTTGTGCTGGAGTAGTATATTGATGTAGGTTAGATTTGTGCTGCCTGAGAGATACAAAATAACCATAAAATAT